TATGAGATGGCCCTCGTGAAAATTGCATTCCAGATCGCACTTGGCGGCTTTGGCGCGCCTATGGCAAGAATACATACATAACATAGATACATACATACGAACATCAATATATATTAGATAAAATATATATAATATATAATATATATGATATATATATAGTATGTGTGTGTGTGTGTGCCGGTGTGTGTGTGATGTGACGACGCTATATCGCTCGCGTACCGTCGGTACGGCCAGTAATGACGTACATTTCAGCGAATTAAGGGCTGAGCAGCTGCTGGAGAGTGAATCGAGTCGCGCATCGGAAGTGATAATACCGATCCTCGAAAAGTTCTGAGTTTCTGCCCACCGTCGCCTACGGAATGCAAACAGCAACGGCCCCGGGTCAGCGACGCGCCCGGGCGTCCGTCATAACGTTTGCGTTCGACCATCCTGTGGTATTTATCCTGAATTATCCCGGACAAATGTGGTGCGACAGAAGCGAGAGGCGTCGATATGGCCGCAGTGAATACACGACGACTCGCAGTGGCAGCGAGAGTCAGAATCATCGTTGAGAAAGCAGACTCAAACGTGTTGTTGTAGTAGCGCGAACACGTCGCGAGCTATACGCAATGCCGCGACCTCAGCCTCACAATCAACCCGTGTAGGCGTCGTGAGACGTGGCAGAGCGTGACACAACATTAATGCAGACGGGTAGGCGCATGTTATGGTAGCGTGCGGGTCGTGGAAGTGACCAATTGGAAGGAACGGAAGCTGCACGTGTGTACAGAACGGAGTAAGCTAGCCCCGTGTACGACTCTCGAATTGCAATCGGACAACGAAAAGTCAGAAACAAAGTCCGCATAGAAGCTAGAGAGAGGGGGGACGCGTTTCCGTCGGTACTTCGATCTGCTCTCACGCTTCTTCGCTGTCCAATATCTCGCTTTTTTAATTGCATATCTGCGTGTGTCTGTGTGTGTGTGCTGTGTGTGCGCAGCGCGCGCGTAGTCGTGTGTGTGTGTGATGTGTGTGTGTGTGTGTGTGTGTACGTGTGTGTACGTGTGTGTACGTGTGTGTGTGTATGTGTACGGACGGATGCGTGCACGGACAATCAGATCCTATACCTTCGTGAAATATTCGATCAGTGATTGCTGAGTAACAGGAAACGCTTTCATTTCTCCACTTGTTCCCGACGAAAGGGTCATCAAGATAGGGCGTACGGGAACCATGGCCGTCCAGTCCCCCTTTGCCGTCTTCTCCGCATATTCCTGAAGACGTCGGAGCGGGTTTAATATGTCAGTGACACGGCGGGCGCCCACAACGTTTTAAAATTCCCTGATGCGCAAAATGAAATTTCGTCCCACCGACATACAGGCCCACTGTTAACGCATACCACCAAAACATAAGAGATAGTATATAATAAATATATATACCGATTTGGTGTCTTAACCCAGATGTCTCCCTTATTCGATTATTTTTGATTATTTATTCTATTTCATTTATCGATGCTACCAATTAAGCGCGACCTTATTTAAAATTATGCATGCACCTTATACACGGAGTAATCGGTAACAGGCACCGTCTTTACAAAGTCTCTCCGGGTGCGGATTTTCGCCAGGTTGAGTTTCTGGCCGAGGTCCGTGTCGGCGTGAGATGAGGCCAGCCTTAGCAACACTTCCTCCTGCGCAGAAACAAACATGGCTACCATGAGACGTGACGTCACGCACCGAGCGACAATTAAACGTTTAAAACAAAAAGGCGAACGATTACTTTAATATGTTTTTTTCGTAAATCCTACTATCTATCTGAACACAAGCCGTCCGTGGAGTTTTACTCTGAGTGCAACACGCGCAGGTGTCGTACGCGCCGACACTGCCATGCTACAGATGCTCTTCTTGTGGAATTCCCGCTAAGAGCAGACGACGACGTGTCCTCGCGTGCTGCAGTAAGCTTTATACGTGCAGCGACCCCGGTGTCTCTACCATCACCACACCACAGCACCGCAAAGAGAGAGGGGTAGCTGCAGTGCCGGAGCAGGCACCTTCCCCCGGAGACACCGCACAGAGAGGGTAGCTGCAGTGCAGAGCAGCACTTCCCCGGAGACACCGCACAGAAGAAGGTTAGCTGCCAGTGCCGAGCACGTACCTTCCCCGAGACACCGCACAGAGAGAAGTAGCTGCAGTGCCGCGAGCAGGTACCTTCCCCGGAGACACCGGCACAGAGAGAGGAGGCTGCAGTGCCGGAGCAGTACTTCCCCCGAGACACCACAGAGAGAAGAGAGGTAGCCTGCAGTGCCGGAGCAGTACTTCCCCCGGAGACACCGCACAGAGAGAGGTAGCTGCAGTGCCGGAGCAGGTACCTTCCCCCGGAGACACCGCAAAGAGAAGAGGTAGCTGCATGCCGGACAGGTACCTCCCCCGGAGGACACCGCACAGAGAGAGGTAGCTGCAGTGCCGGAGCAGGTACCTTCCCCCGGAGACACCGCACAGAGAGAGGTAGCTGCAGTGCCGGAGCAGGTACCTTCCCCCGGAGACACCGCACAGAGAAAGTAAGCCTGCAGTCCGGAGCAGGTACCTGCCCCGGAGACACCGCACAGAGTAAGGTAGCTGCAGTGCCGAGCAGGTACCTTCCCCCGGAGACACCGCGCTTGTCGGGCGGGTATGGCGGCGGCGGAGAGCAAGGAGAGAGTGAAGCTGTGGTTGAGCGTCGGCATGGTCGTCATGTCGTCGCTGACGGCGCTGCTGACGCACCAGGCTGCCGACGCCGACGATCACGTGGCGTGGAGAGTGCTCCAGCCGTAAATGTCGCATTGTGCTGTGATGTGTCGATAGTGTGGTGTGTCGCGCTGCGTGCGTAGCGTGCGTGGTGCGTGCGTGCGTGTCGTGCGTCACGTGCGTTAGTGTGTGTGCGCGCCCTGTGGCGTGGGGTGGTGTGCTGTGCCGGCGCCTGCGTGTGCGTTGTTGTGTGTGCGCGCAGCGCGTGTTACATGTATATATCATAATGATATTATAGCTACATGCTTGTCACAGAACGAGAGCGACTATTTCCACCGGTATCTCTGTTACGGGTTACGATGTGCCGAGCATATCTTGTAACGATGCGAGATTAAATTTGATACAGTATGTTTTTTCCGATAAGACATTTCGACTTACACATAGAAGTCGGGACCATGCTATCAACAGCTTGCCACTGTACAATCACTATTGAGTAGTAGTTGTATCCGGCTTGTATAAGAGACTCACACCCTAATGCGCAATGTACACGAAAAGCTAAACAATGCCCCGAATTGCCGAAACCGAGAAGCTCCGACACCAGATTCAATACCATGCAGGATGCATGAAGTACGGCAATTCTTTGCTGTCGAAGCGATTACGACGTCGCTTCAACGGTAGTTCGGGAACAGATATGGACTGGAACATAACATGGTAGCGTCTACAGATACATATATACGGTCGAAGGGTGTACAATCCTTACTTATTACAATATATCAACGTTATATGCCAAGGAGTGCTCTACAATGGGGATAAGGATACAGACTACAGCCTGTCGAGAACATATGGAAAACGGTTGTTTAAACACGAATACACAGTCCTCTTTAGTTATGATAAGAGGGGTATCGAATGGATCGTTATTACACTGTTTGTATTTAGTTAGATGTAGATTTACTGTATATAATGCGCTCCCGTCTTCTGGCCACTCCCGGGGTTGGTTGGCGCTGATGTTCATGGACGTCCTGCTGTCAGCACGATGCAGCACCCAGCAACCGGCCTGGCGGACGTGATACGTCAGCTACAAACGAGAGCTGTTCGTCAGATATGCTGGAAATGTGGCCTACGAGGAATTAATGGCGAGAACACACCGATGTTTCAAAACAGCAAGCGGTGGGTCGGGTTTCATTCCGCCTTTCAGCTTAGAGACAAGAGGGTTGTCATATTAACCCCAGTTTATACTATCATCGATGTTGTATATTGATGCGTATATAATGGTATCAACGCTGTAATACTATCAGCGAGCCTTCAGTATCAAAAAACTATATTATATACTATTATCCTATATAAACTATATATACTATATTAGACTATAAACTATATACTATTAGCCTATATAAACTATATAATATTAGCCTATATAAACGCAATGTTCATATATTTATTAAGTCTTTTTTAAGTTATTTTTATTACTTCCCTTATTATTTTTTCAGACAAGGTCATTTTTGTGGGTTACGAATTCCTTTGAGATCTTGACGTTGTAAGCGGTTATGATTACTAATTATGATTACTGATTACTAATTACGGTTTAGTTGGCTTGATCTAATGATGATGCGATTACTGGTCGCAGACATTCTAATTACAGGTTGGATGAATTACATGTGATTCNGAGCCATGTATGTGACACGCGCTCCTAAATATCTGCGTCTACATACACCCGAGGAGTAAACATGCGCAGAGAGAAACCCCGCAGTACCGCAGAGAGAGAGAGAGAGAGCGAGAGCGAGAGAGCGAGAGAGAGAGAGCGCGAGAAAGCGAGAGCGAGAGAGAGCAGCGAGAGAGAGAGAGAGAGAGAAGAGAGAGAGCGAAGAGAGGAGGAGTATTGGGAGGAGGAAGAATGGGAGGCAGAGGAGGAAAAGAGAGGATGAAGGACAAGAAGAGAGAAATCTTATCAGGAGTGGATAATAGAGCTCTCTCTCTCTCTCTCTCTCTCTCTCTCTCTCTGCTCTCTCTCGTCGTCTCTCTCTTCTCTCTTCCCTCGCGCTCCTCTGCTCGTCTCTCGTCTCTCCTCGGCGCTCTGCGTCTGCTCTCTTCTCTGCGTCGTCTCTCTCTCTCTCTCTCTCTCTCTGCTCTCTAGTTCTCTCTCTCTCTTCGTCGCTCGCGTATAGCTCTCCTCTTCACATCTCGCTCGATCTCTTTGTCTCTCTCTCGTCTCTCTCGTCTTCTCTCTCTCTCTCTCTCTCTCTCTCTCTGCTCTCTCTATCTCTCTGCTCACTGATCTTTTCATGTCTCTCTCCTCTCTCTCTGCTCTCGTCTCTCGTCTCACTGTCTTTCCTCGTCTCTGCTCTCTGCTTTCTCTCTGCTCTCTGCTCTCGTCGCTCTATGCTCTGCTATCTCTCGGAAGTCTTTCTCTCTCTCTGCTCACCTGTCTTATCCTGTCTCTCTCGTGCGTCTTTCTCTCTCTCTCGCTCTATCCCCCCCTTTTTCTTTCCTGCTATTCTCTCTCTCTCTCTCTCTCTCGTCACCTTTGTCTCTGCTCTCTGCGTCGTCTCATCGTCATGTCGTCTCTCTATGCTGCTGCTCTCGTCTGCCTTCCTCTCTCTCTCCGTGTTGCTCTCTCGCTCTCTCTCTCTCTCTCTCTTTTTCTCTCTCTCCTCTCCTTTCTCTCTCGTCTCTCTCTCTCTTTCTATTCACTCTGTCTGCGCACATCGTCTCTCCCAACACCTCTCTCAGTCTGCTCTCTGAGTGAGAGAGAGCGAAAGCGGTATTTCACAGGGTAGATTTTGAAGCTGCGAAAAACATAGCCCAGCTAACCTGCATCTAGGAAATTGTTTTCGGCTGCTCCTTGTGCGCTTGCACTGAGCGCATGAACTGCGAAGTAAGTTGACGTGAACGTCGGAGGTAGTGTATCGTTTAGCCAGCTCCGGGCCATGCAATGTTGATTCCTGGCCCCAAGGCACACGATCACACTAATCACAAACAGCGGAAATTTCGGCGTGTGAGCGCAGATCGACAGGCACTTGAAGCGTTTCAATAAAATATATGGCTAACTAAGATTACGAAATCTATGTACTACGCAACTTTTAATGTTTCTATAGCTCTCTGTTCACCTATTGATTGCCGACAGTGTTCGCCGTAAATGTCCGTCGCAAATCATACGTGCAACGCTTACAGAAAGATCCTACGCTGCAGGCCGCGCATTGCTTTCGCGCTCACTTGTTGTACGACATTACACTAAACTATATATAGGTTTTTAGCGAATTTTGCGATGCGCGCCTTATCCTACTGGCTATACTATATTAAGTGTAAGCGTGCAACAGTGGAGGCCGCGACGCAATGGCGGGCTTGGCAGCGTAGGATTTTTGGTAAGCGTTGGCACGTATGATTTGAGCGGACATTTACAGGAAACTGTCGCAATAAATATGTGAACAGAGGTGAATATTTATATATCTACATGTGTATAGCTACACTATAATTATACAAACTCTATATATACCGCCTAGGTTGAGCTGCACCGTAATGACGTTCACATACCTGACACACCGCCGTCACAGAGCGCCTGCGCATCATATAAATATCAGCTGCAAGTATAAGTTATTAGAATGATATATGTGGCGAAGGAAGAGGGAGCAACCGATTAACTCATATATGCCTCCGATGGAGTTTGAACAGGCTTGAGTACGAATGCTGGACGCCTGTGACTCGGCGTACTTCTCAAGTTCAGGTAGTGTCTTGCGTAGAGCGCGAAACGAAGCGGAAGCAGGCAGTTTCCACTGGCGCAGGTTGCGGCCATATCCGGCGCAGATGCCGTGAATCCCTTACTGAATTCGCGTTCCAGCTCAGTCCGCATCCGCGGTGGCATTGGAGTAAGCAAGAGCTGTGGCGGAAACGATGACGTCACTCGTGACATGTTGCCGAGTTTATCCATGCTCGTTTCGAAAGCAGACTTTCATATTATGATATATATATATATATATATATACATAATAAGATGAAGTTCATATGTAAACGTGAGGGGAACATACCAAATTCAAATCTTGGCGAATGTCTGCTGGAATGTTGAGGTCAGGTGAGATTCGACCCAACCTTATATCCTCTACCAACCTCTCCCACGTGTTCTCCAGGTATGTGAACGTGCTGTAGAGACCCGGGGAGAAACCGCTCTCCATCCATCCTAATCAATCAACCAGGTAATCGATAAATCACCGGAGTGATTAGAGAATGATGCATGCTAACAAGAGTGTATTAAGTATGCTTAAGACTTACTACGTTCTACTTAATACTTAAGCATACTTAATACGCTCTTGATGCTAACGATCTTCCATGTAACTACATGATCCATTGTTCCTATAATTTAATAATAGTTCGGCTCAACAAACTATTATCCAATCAAAACAAACAATAAATCCGGTAAACAAAGGCAATGCATGGCGCAATGTAACGAAGTAAACAAGTAACGCCAAGCACGTAAACACGCATCTAAACGATCAAGCAATAAGTCTACGCAAACAAAGAGTCGCAAATGATCAGCGAATATATGTTCATTATATATATAAATAATTATTGTCATTATAGGCGAACGAGTCACACCAAGGTAAAACAGATAATAGTCTGTGGGCTTATATGCAATCTGGTAATCATAAGTGGGCAATGCGATTAGCTAGGTATTGCTACACACGGGTGAGACGCTACGGATGGTTTTGACTTCTTCGTATCATACCTAGATTTCGATCCGCGAGAGCAAACAACAATGTCGTAACTGTCTCATTGAATGTTTTTATGCCCATGACGGCAGGTGGCGTTGTGCATCGTTTGTCAGGCCACATAGCTGATTGTGCTGTCGCAGAAAAACGAGGGGGAGCGCTGACGAAAATTTACGAGTATTTCTATGCTAGAAGTGCGTATCCATTACGTCTAAATAAGTTGGGGGCATATCTGTCAAACGCGTGCGAGGAGAGAGAGAAGAGAGAGAGAGAGAGAGAGAGAGAGACGAGAGAGAAAGAGAGAGAGAGAGCGCGCGCGCAGAGAGCGAGAGAGAGAGAGAGAGAGAGAGAGAGGAGAGAGCGCGCGCGAGAAAGAAAGAGTAGAAAGAGAGAGAGCGCGCCAGCGAGAGTAGAGGAGAGAGAGAGGGGAGAGAGAGAGAGAGAGCGAAAAGAAAGACGGAAGAGCAGAGAAGAGAGAGAGAGAGAGAGAAAGGCAGGTAGGCAATCTGTCTAGACACATCTCTAGACAGACAGGATCATAATATAATACGAGCAATGATTATGTGCGTGTCGACACATAAGTATAAAGTACGTACTAGCGTAAAGTAAAAGGCACACTCCAATGAAGACATCACACACACACGCACGCACTCACACGCGCACACACGCACGCACACACACGCGCGCACAGACACGCACGCACGCACGCACGCACACACACACGCACGCACGCACGCACGCACGCGCACGCATCCCGTGAGATTACTGACCTCGCAGTTTGTCGGCCAGGGCGCTAGCGCAGCAGGTAAAGTCAACGATGGAGGTGCCACCCCAGTACGTGTTCGCACATTCCTTTAATGCATTCATCATCGCTTGCTCACTGACACGCTCCCCGCGCAGGCTGAGTACTTGACTACGTCTAGAATACAAAAGTATTTGTTAGCATGTGTACCCGATGCGAAGATGTTGATAGAAAGGAGGAGATGTGTGCAGAGAGAAATTTGCATAAGCAATCAATATGATACATGGGAATAACTCAGGCTATTAAGGCTCTAACCCTAACCCTAACACTAACTCTAACCCTAAACATAACCCTAACGCTGACCCTAACCCTAAACCCAATCCTAACTCTAACCCTAACACGATGCTAATATAAGATAACTGCGCTTCAATGCGCCAAGTCATGCGAGATTCAATTTGTTGATCAATCACCTCGAATTCAAATTGTAATTTACGAGTCCTTCGCGAAATGGGAAAGCTGCACTCGACACCTCTACGTACGCACCGGGCAACAAACTCGAAGATAGGACAGGAGTTTGTGAAGCCAGCAACCTTGAGGAGGTCTCCCTGCTTGTAGCGATACAAGGATCGTCCGCTGGTGACGAGCAGTTCGTACGTCTCCCCGTCTCTCACCTGCACCGAGAATGAGAGAGGATACGAAGAATAGAAAGAAGACGGGGAGAAGGAGAAGAAGAACAACAAGAAGAATTGTGAGGATAGGAACAGAGATTAGGAATACAGGAAGAGGAGCTTTATTTGGTAGAGGAGGCAAGAATGGGAGTACTCATTTGTTAATGGTTAGATAAAAGTTCAAGAGCAGGTGGTCGAGTTTTTCTATTAGGCCCTGCGGTATCATGAAGGACAAAGGAACGGGAGAGAATCTTTTAATCAGTGAGTGTGTATGAGCTAGAAGTTATTTCTCTTCGTGCTCCGCTGTCCTCTGCTCCCACTCTCGCCTTCTATTCTCTCTATCTCTGCTCTCCTATCTTCTCTTCTCTCGTCTCAGTCTCTCTCTCTCTCTCTCTCATTCTTCACTACCTCTTCTACTACTCTCTCTCTCTCTTCTCTTTCTTTCTCTCTCTCCTCTCTCTTTCGCTCTCTCTTTGTCTCTTTCTCGCTCTTACTTCTGCTCTCTCTCTCGCTCGGCCTCTCTCCTCCGCTCTCTCTCGCTTCTCTCGCTCTCTCTGCTTCTCTCTGTCGTTCTTCTCTCTGGTCTCTCTCCTCTCTCTATCTTCTCTCTCTCTCTCTCTCGTACTCCTCGACTGTCGTTTTGCCTGCTCCTCTCTCTATCTTCTGTGTCCCTCTCTTCTCAGCTTCATATATCTCTCTACTCCTACTTCTTTTCCCACCGTCTCTCTCTCTGGCTCCGCCTAACCCCCTATCCTCTCTCTCTCTCGTCTCGGAAGTGAGATAGAGCCGAAAGCGATCGGGTATTATCCACAGCGTTTCGGTAGTATGATATAACTGCGCGAACAAATAGCCAGCTAAGAAGCGCCGGTCTGATCTATGGAAAATATGTTTTTTTTCGTGTGTGCTGTGACCGTCCATCTAGGTGCACTTCTCATCATGAGGTCCTACCGCTTGGCTTTTATGAAACTACGAAAGAATGGTGTGACGTGAACGTCGGCAGGGTAGTTTGTATGTCTAGCATACGCTCCGGGCCACATGTTCGATTTTTTCCACTGCGCGATACGAGCTCACAATATCTACACTACAGTCTCATCAATAAAACGGATATATATGTTCGCGCTGTAGTGAGACCCCGACATCACAGGTTCCCACTTATGAGGTTTCAATGAATCAATTATCATGGCTAACTAAATTTACGAAAATCTATGACATTACCCAACTCTATTAGTGATATTCGTTACTCTTTTTACTATTTATTTGCCGTACAGTTTCCTAGTAGAATGCCGGTCCAGATTCCTTACGTGCAAAACGCTACGCAAAGATCCTACGGCTGCCGCGGCCATTGCTTTGCGCGGGCTGCCACTGTTGCTACGCTTACGCTAACGTTATTATTATAGTTGTTAGCGATTTTGCGCCGATTCGCGCTTTTTAACTGCGCCTATATTATCGATTTAGTTTAAGCGTGCAACAGTGGAGCCGCGACGAGCTCAATTGGCGGCGTGGCAGCGTAGGATAATTTGTGTAGCGTTGCAAGCGTTATGTTCTTGGCACTGATTACGGATAACGTTCTTCTGTCCGGGCAATAATATAGGTGAAAGATAGTATAGAACATTAAGAATGGTAGTACAGTAGATTTCGTAGTCTTAGTTAGCGATTATATGTTATGTGAAACGCCTTCAATTTGCCTTGGATGAATTGCGCGCTACATCTCAAACGCATCGGAATCAATTTTCTACCACTAATCTTAGTGGTATAAGGGGGGCGGGTAATAGCGAGCTCGTCGGTGATACACTACTATTGAGTAATACTAGGGAACTAGTTCGTATATATGTTAGTATATAGTATACGATGAGAGGGTGAACGGTAGTGGGTTCTGATTGCTAGATTGAGTACGTTAAGGGGGGCCTTTCATATATAATATATTAGTAGACTTTCTATATATACCCGCCTTAAGGTTGAGTCACGACGTATAATGATCGTCACATTGTCGACACACCCACGCTGCCTGCGCATTACGGCTATTAATATCACGATGCAGAAGTATCTAGTCATCTAGCAGATTTAATTGTGTAGCGACGGGATAGTAGCGAGCACCAGTCGAGTTACCGCCATTGATATGACCTGCAGAGCGAGGTTGAACCAGGCCTGAGTAATGATATTGCTGACGGCCTCTTCTTCGTACTTTCTCAGCGTCAGCTAGTTTCTGACGTGAGCTCGCGAGACGAACCGGATAGCAGGCAGTCTTATCTGCGCGGGCAGGTTCGGCATTATTCCGCGCAAGATTTCCCGTGAATTTCCGCTTCTATCTGAATTCCGCGTTTCCAGCTCGTTCGTCCGCCGTGGTCGGCATTTGGATAAGCAGCTGTCGCGCTTCGGAAACGTATACGTCACTGTTGCGTTTTAGCGTTTCATCATCTCGTTTCCCGAAACAACTTGATATTTATATTATATAACAGAATTAAGAGTGAAGTTCATATGTACAACGTGAGGGAAAACAGACAGAATATTCACAATGCTTGGCGCAATGTCGCCCCTGGAGCATGTGAGGTCATTGGTCGAAGTTCGAGTTCAAGATTCCTAGCATCATTCGATCTACCAATCTTCTCTTTCCACGTGTGTCTCCAGGTATTGACGTGCTGTAGAGACCGCCGTTCAGTTAGAAACCCGCTGCTCATTCCTGATTCTTAAACTCTATATCAACCAGTGTAGGGTCGTATAAATCGAGGCCAGAGGTGATTAGTGAGAATGATGCATGACTATCAAGAGTCGTAGTTTCATCAGTATGCTTAAGACGTTACTACGTTTTTACTCATACTTTAAGCCTACTAATAGCTCTTGAGTGTCTAACCGATCTTCCTAGTATACTACCATATGATCCATTGTGTTCCTATAATTTTATAAGTATGTTCGGCGCTCAGACAAACTATTATCCATCAAAACAAGACATAATATCCACGTTAAACAACATCGATTCCATTGTTAACAATGTAAGTACAGATAAGCCAAGCACGTAAGACAAAACACAGATCATCCCAGTCTGTAACAAGTTAAACAAGACTAACCCAAGCACCGGTAGTAATAACAAACATAGCTACACCGATCAAAGGAAATAATCCGACGCATAATCAAATGGAGGTCGCATAAATGTAAAGGCGTAAATGTATGGTTGCATACTAAATATATATATATCTGGATTGTCGATATACGCGACACTCGATCAACCAGAGGCTGATAGACATGTTTATTAATAGCTCGTCGTGTTCTGTATTCGAATCGCGGGTTAACTCAATAAGTTGGCATAATCGACTAGCTTAGGCTTATTGCTTAATCAGAGGAGACGAGGTTTGAGCATTAGTGGAGTTTTCTAGCTTTGTCGTATGCCAATACGCTAGATTTCGATTTCTCCGCTGATGGCAAACAAATGAATGTCGTTTCGTTATGTGTCTCATTTGTGACTGTTTTGTATGCCCATTGCGGGCAGGTGGGCGGTTTATCATCGTGGTGTCAGCCACATCTGATTGTCGGTGTGCGGCAGAAATCGAGGGGGCGCTGACAAATTTACGATATTTCTATCTGAGTCGTATTCCTTTACTTTACTAAATAATTTTGGGGAAATATCTTGGTCTAAACTCGTCGTTACATTTGCGATGATAGATGAGAAGAAGTTTTTGTGGTGAGTACGAGAGAGAGAGGGAGAGATGGAGTTTCGTCGCTAGAGAGAGAGACGTTCGGAATTAGAAGAAGTATTCCCGTATTTGAGGATGAGCGTATTTTTTCGGATGATATGATAGTTGAGACTCCTGTGTCAGAGAGGCGGGAGAGAGATGCGTCTGCAGCGCGCGGGTGAGAGAGAGAGAGATTGATTTCCGAGCGCGCGGAGCACTCGATCTTGATGACGAGAGGACGATGACGATCGTCGAGCTGGTCGCGGCGATGGAGAGAGGAGAGCAGCTGAGAGATGATGAATACGAGAACGTGCGCGTCGCCGCGACGACGAGAGAGCAGAGACCAGGCGAAGAGAGGAGAAGAGAGAGACAGCGCCGCGCTTCGACGAAGAGAGAGAGCGAGGAGCAAGAATGAGAGAGTATGAGAGATGACGATGATGACGTAGATGAGAGAGAGAGTTCTTCTGGCGCGCTGCTGAGAGAGAGAGGAGACGAGAGGAGGCCTGCATGCGCTGAGAGTAGAGAAAAGAGAGAGAAGAGAGACGCACAAGAGAAATGAAAGGCGAGAGATGAGAGTAACTAATATAAGATCATAATAGTGGTATATTATATGATAATTTATATGAACAGTATTTTCGACTCTCTCTCGTCTATCTTATATACATATATATACTATACTTAGCTGCGGTACCCTGTTTTGCGCTTTGGCTCTGGTGTTTTTGTTGCCTCTGTGAATAGGCTCGCGTTTCTACTAATTCATACTACCTATATCTAATATGGGATACGGTAGGAACATCTCGTGGGCTTACAAACTGACGATGGCACAATGACTCTGACATACCCAATCATTCATATATTATGAACTAGTGTGTCTAATATAGTATACTAAGCCATGGGGAAACAACTGTTACGCTACATGACAATTTTACTCATGGTACAAGCACAACCCAACCTTTTAAGAACATCCTGAAGACATAATATCAATAGTAATATGGTCCGCATAGCGGTCTTATGTTCCCCCCAGTTATACCGAACGCTACCCTGGTGGGCTATTTGATATGGTTTAGTCGGTTAGTGGTGGCGTTAGGGAGTTACGCGTAGTGGTGCATTCCCTAGACTCGTTAGTTGGGAGATAGGCGAGGTACGGTCCGGCTACTCATATTAGATAAGTACCAGGGTACGTTCCGATTAGACCACCCAACGGGTACCCAGAGGTACGTATCCGCCAGTATACGGGCTGGTGGGGGGGACACAAGACCCTCTCCAGTCGGTTTGAATATGGAGTATTTAATGACAAGAAAATGTTAGCCTCCCGCTGTATATATTCAACAGCATGCT